AGTAGAGCAGCGGCGTGCGCGGCTTCAGCGTCCTGTGCGGTGGGCGTGGCTTACGCGGCCTGTGCCGTGGGCACGGCGGCCGCAGCGGGAGCAGCGTGTGGCTCAGGCCGCATGTGGAGCCCGGAACAGCCCCGAACAGGCAAATCAATCGATAGCCGACGAATCGACGATCGAAAACGTTGCCAACGTTTTCAATAGTCGATTTTAATCGACTAAATCGATTAACTGTTGCAGCTCTACTTTGAAGCGGTTATATTGGAAAGTATATTCAATGGTAAGCTCCCACCTGTACATATTTGGAGTTGTATCTTTAGTTCTATATTGCTTTACCATTAAATATCAGGATAGCCTCTTAATAAAAAAGGTGATATTGTATGTGTTGTATAATAAATTATATTTATATTTGATTAATAATATTGATAATACTTAAGATATTTTAAAGAATGTAATGACTTTATAATTATAAAGGTATTTTACTTTATACAACACCTATGGTTGCCCATGGTCCTTATATTTGTATGTCACCTTCATTTTTATGCTGCACTTCATTACCTGATTCATGGTTTATGAACCAATTATTCTGCTAAACATTGCTGTCCTAGGGATATACAAGACGTTTATGTTACTGATGATCAAATCAGCTTGATTTGTTTTATGTTTTCCTGAACACATGCATTTAGATTTGTCTAACCAGCATAGTCATATTCTTTAAAGCAGAATTACAGTCTAACCTTTTTCCGATTATCCATCTGCTTCTGCTGCTTGGTGCTAAAATGTGCTGCTCTTTAATTTTCTCCCCTTTGTCACAGTCCAGCAGATATGTTTAATATTGGATCTCAGCTGCGGGGCTGGCACTCAAGGGTTAAGGGGTTGAGTCAGTCAGACGGAACCCCAATACAGTGCGAGGGGGAACCGTTCCACATCATGTACCCCGTCCTATATGTGCTATGGGTTTATTATTCAGGCGTGGTTATGAGGTTAGTGACTCTAGGGGAGTAAGCAAATAGTAGTTTGCAGGATGTACAGCAACAGGTGGTGGTTGAGTACTATTATCAGTAAGCTAATCAGTATCAATTGACCTCCAACTCTAAGATTTCCTGTTAACACCTAGCTGACACAGTTCGCCACTAGAGCACTTACAGATTGCGGGTTGGAAGTATCTACTTACAGGTGGGAGTAGAACCACTTGTACATGCGGCCCTTTGTAATGTGGATAATGGTTACTCTTGCAGACACAGTTCATTAAGTCAGCATTAAGCAGATAAGGTACAGGAAGTATCCACTAACAGGTGGGAGTAGAACCACTTGTACATGCGGTCCTTTGCAATGTGGATAATGGTTACTCTGACAGACACAGTTAATTCAGCATTTAGCAGATAAGGTACAGGAAGTATCTACTAACAGGTGGGAGTAGAACCACTTGTACATGCGGTCCTTTGCAATGTGGATAATGGTTACTCTGGCAGACACAGTTCATTAAGTCAGCATTAAGCAGATAAGGTACAGGAAGTATCCCCTAACAGGTGGGAGTAGAACCCCTTGTACTTGCGGTTTAGTTTGTGGCAATTGGCTCTATGAAGCCCGGTTGTAGGGAGGATTGAGGCAACCTCTGCGCATGGGGTGGTTGTTGGGTCCCGTGTATGCAGTCCTAATGTCCCTCTCTCAGGTTGTGTCTGTAGCACGGTCAGTGTCTCACAGAGTCACTCGCTCGACGTTCCAGAACGATAGAACGCCGAGTGAGTGTCTCACCTGTGCTTTTGAGGAGGAATCGCGGCCAGAGGAAGGAGTTGGCCGTGACGTCATTCATCAGGTAAAACATACAGTATGTCTATTGTCAAAATACGTCTATTTATTGATGTGCATCGTGGTAAAAAACAACGAACGTTTCGGGGTCACAAAGGATCCCCTTCATCAGGTAAAACATACACGATGCACGTCAATAAATAGACGTATTTTGCAAATTTGGAGTGTCGGTGTCTCTGCTTTAGGTCATGCACAGGACGGCGCGCCGCAGACACGGAGCTCCGGCCCGTGTAGGTCTGGGACACCCTTTTGCTTTCCACACTGTGCTTTAAATTTTTCATTAAAGGGCATTGAAGCAGGCATGTTTCTTGTCTGTAGATGCCCAGTCTTTCACAATGCCCACTGACTGTGTTAAGCATGCCTCATGTGCTTTGGGGCACGTCATTCACTGCTGCTGTGTCCTATGCGGTGCACACAACTCCCATAGAGCCAGTTTCATCTTGATGGGAGTTACTACACAGTCCAACCTCTATGCACACTAAAACCAGGAACTAGAGTCCATGTTTAGACAAAGCTGTGTGTATGAGTTTTTTCTATCAGTGTTCAGTGGGCATTACTGCAGTATTTTGCTGGCTTCACCTGAACCCTCCCACAGGTCAGTGCAGAACAGGGTGAAAAGACCAACAATAATCATGTGACCTCATTTTTCTTCTCTCCAATCTAAAGGTAGAAAACCTTTACATAAATGTCAAGGACAGAAAGCTGCACATCATGCAGGGGAAAGTAGTCAAATATAGTCTGCTGCAGACTGGAGTTCTGTTTATATCCTCATTGCTTTTTTTCTAAAACTATGTGAATCTCTGCATATCAGACAAATTATGTAGATACATGTAATACATTGGTAATTCCCTTCATTCAGTCTTTTCTTGGTTTTGTATCTCTGTAGTTTGAAAGATCTCTGTAGTTTGAATTCTCTCATATTCAATTGGCCAATTGTGACATATCTGGGCACCCTGTGCCTTATTTATACTTCTTAATCATATGAAGGCTTAATTCACTGGTTATAGTTTGACTGCATATACCGACAAATACTTCTGTCATGCAGTATGTCTATATTATCATTATTTAATTATTATTTTTATCTGTCATTGTATTTAATGTAGAAATTTGCAGACTCTCTTTCGTTCCTCAGCGAGGCTGTCTGAACCTGCTGGTTGACACTGTGTCAAAGTAGCTGGAGCAGGCCAAGTGTAGAGATAATAAAGCAGAGGACAACACTAATAAGTATCATTTATTTTTACATTTTTTATTCTTTTTTTATTTTAGTCATGAGGAGGTTTCTAGCTCGACAACAGCTGCGGCGTAAAATGAACATTAAACAAAATGAAGTTACTTGTGTAGAAGACTTCCTTCTTACTGTAGAGGACATGGGGCAACAAACCTTCCATTCCCTGGTTGTCCAAAATACAGCTGACATTGCTCGAGAAAAAGACAGACTTCACTCTGACCCAGAAGCTACTAATAACAAAACAGGACAAGCTTCAGATAAAGAAGTCATTCCCAACAGGTAAATGGTTACTGGACATGAAAGAATGCCATACCTAAAGATACAATTAAATAAATTAGACTTATTTCATGTCTATAGATCAGATAATCCGTTTAACTAATTCTAAAAAGCTAAACTCAAGGTGGATATTATGAACATGAATGCACTTCTGTAACTGTTAATATATCCTTAAATTTATTTTTTAATGCAAGCTGTTTAAGTTCATTTGACTTGGTATCAGCTTATTGCAGTCTGTGTATAGCAAAGCAGAGAGTTGGAGTAGGACGGAACACAAGGAGACATTCAGATGTGTTGCAGTGGAAGAAGAATAATGATAGAAGGAGAGAGCAAAGTGACAAAGAGATGAGCTTATCACTGTGCTGCTTCCAATTCACTGTCTTGTCACAGGATGGTAGGTTTCTGTTAGTGAAAACTGTAGTAGTGAAATAATAGGTCTACTCCCATATCAAGCAGGCTGTTCTGTGGTAAATATCAGGACTGGATGGACAGAAATGCAAATCATTTTGGAAGATACAACAGCTCCAATATACACTGATCAGCCATAACATTATGACCACCCGTCTAATATTGTGTAGGTCCCTCTTTTACCACCATAACAGCCCTGACCCATTTAGGCATGGACTCCACTAGACCTCTGAAGGTATGCTGTGGTATCTGGCACCAAGGCATCAATATCAGATCCTTTAAGTTTTGTAAGTTGTGAGGTGGGGACTCCATGGGGGTGATTTACTAACCTAAATACACACAAGCACCAGGTGCGTGTGCATTTTTACACAGCAAAACGTATTTATCAACCAAACACGAGCAACGTGTCACATTTTCACGCCGTTATGGCGCGTTTTTATGTATTTACGTACGTGCGCGGCATGTAGCATGCGCCATAGGCTACACGCCGCTCTAATAGCGGCATGCAAGTCTCTAAAAGCATATTTCCACTAATGCCATATATGGAAAAATCATGCACATGATGCATATATAATGCTGCTTCATAGTTTAGACAAAAATGGTTAGCTCATGCATTTACATTCCTGCATTCATCAACGCAAGCAACACAACGTAGAGCTAATTTACACAACATCACCTTGCAATTCATGCAGGGCTTTGCACAACACACCTGCTGGGTGTGTACACACTACAAAGGTGTCTAGATTCCACCAATAGATCATGCTGGGAGGGAACACACTACAGAGGTGTATACTTGTTCGTGGCGTGTTTATAAGGTTAGTAAATCAACCCCCATGGGTCGAACTTGTTTTTCCAGCACATCCCGCAGATGCTTGATTGGATTGGGATCTGGAGAATTTGAAGGCTAAGTCAACACATCAAACTCGTTGTTGTGTTACTCAAACTATTCTTAAACCATTTTTTCAGTGTGGCAAGGTGCATTGTCCTACTAAAAGAAGCCACTGCCATCAGGGAAAACCTTTTCCATGAAGGTGTACTTGGTCAGCAACGATGTTTAGGTAGGTGGTACATGCCAAAGTAACATACACATGAATGGCAGGACCCATGGTTTCCCAACAGAACATTGCCCAAAGCAACACACTGCCTCTGCCGGCTTGCCGTATTCCCATAGTGTATCCTGGTGCCATCTCTTCCACAGGTAAGCAACACACATGCACCTGGCCATCCACATGATGTAAAAGAAAATGTGATTCATCAGACCAGGCAACCTTCTTTAATTGCTCCGTGGTCCAGTTCTAATCTGAACATGGGTTAGCATGGGCACCCTTACTGGTCTGCGTATATGCAGCCCCATACTCAATGATCTGCGACATGGATGACATACCCTGAGTTTTCCTTCCTTAGACCAATTTTGGAAGGTCCTGACTACTGCAGATAAGGAATATCTCACAAGAGCTGCAGTTTTAGAGTTGCCCTGACCAAGCAGTCTAGCTGTCACAATTTGGCCCTTGTCAAAGTTGTACAAATCTTTATGCTTGCTCATTTTTCTGCTGCCAACACATCAACTTCAGGGACAAAAAATGTTTACTTGCTGCCTAATATATCCAAACCCACCTCCAGGTGTCATTGTCAGTGGTCATAAAGTTATGGCTGTCGGTGTGTATGTATTTCATATGTGTACTTAGCTGTTTGCCTGGAGTTCAGTTTTAAAGTTTTCTATGTAATATCACTGGACCTTCTCTTTATTTTAGAAATGAAGAAATGGGTAAAAGGATGTTGAAAAGCACCTTTGGAGGATACCGCTCTACACCTAACTTGTTTCACTCAGATTCCATTACGATTCCACTAAGTGTGGGAAGCTTTGCACAGTCTGCACATGGGACATCTGGCAGATCCATGTCTCTGCACACAGTGTTAAGTTTAGATGACAGTGGTAATCTACAGTCACCTCGAAAACAACCTCCTCCAAAACCAAAGAGAAACCCTACTACAAGATTAAGTGCTTCTTATGAAGCTGTTAGTGCATGTCTTATTGCTGCAGCCAAGGACCTTGATAATGATGGTAAGAAACATTTATCTGGACTTTTATGTACGTACAGCACAAGCAGTAATGTTCTAAACTAAGCCACCATTATGTAACATAATTAAAATGACTGAAACACAGTTTATGTTGTTGATTGGCATAGGTTTGTCTTAGAATAAAATGTTCATTTAAAATTAATATCATTTGATATTTAAAGCTGTTTTACTTTTTTTAAATTAAAGTGGACCTTTACCAGCATACCAGCATCACACCAGCATAAAGCTGTTGATGCTGATATTAAATCATCTTACATTCATAGCTAAGCACACATATTTTTATTTCACTTTCACAATTTCTTTTTTTCCACTTCCTGGTCCAGTATTGCACAAATTATGTAATCGTTCCCAAGCACTGCATCCTGGGAAGGTTACATCAGCAGAGCATTGCTGGGAAATCTTATCTGTAATCTCATGAGATCTAGGGAAAGGCAATTTCCTCCCTTGAAATGATGTGCATGATCACATGTTTCAGTCACATGGGCCAGAGTTCCAGGAAGTAAAGGAAACTCTAGTAACCTGTTCTTAGTTAAAATGCCCGCTGTCAGAAGACTGGGGATGAAAAGAAAAATAAGGTATGCAAAGAATACAAAGCCGGCAATTATCTAGAAGTATGTGTTTGTAGATTGTCATTACTAAACATTTCTAAAGGTCTCCCTTTGTTGTTCTTTTGAAGATATGGGTAAAGTTCCTCTTTGAGGGTTGGGGTTAGGTTTGACAGGAACAGAGGTTACAGTATGAGAAATGTAGCCCCAATTTCAGTTTTTTTCCTTACAGTGAGAGAAATCCCCTCTCAGACAGTTGCCACCGGAACAAAAGTTTCCCCTCTTTTCTTGTTCTGGTGACAACTGAAATGTATGGGTTTTTCCAGATAACAGTGATCACTCTGAGAAACAGAGAGTGAATTTCCCTAGCTATGGCACAGACAGCTGTAAAAGCCTAAATGGCAATCTAAGGCCTCACCACTCTTTTCAAAATAAAATGTTTGGCTTTAGACACACTTTAATTTGAAGGTTTGCTTATCATTTTGCTTCTTTTTTTGTTCTCTCTTCTCCTCTCTCTCTCTCTTCTTCTCCTCCCTCTCCTTTTGTCCTCCTTCTCTTCTTCTCCACTCACTTTTCTATTCCTTCCTCTCTTCTCCTCCCCTCTTGTCTTCTCTCTCCTTCTCTTCCCCTGCTCTTTTTCACTTCTTATCCTTCCACATTTTCATCCTCTTCTCCTCCTCACTCTTTTCCCCTCCTTCCTTTTTCCCTCCTTACCTCGTTCCCTCTCTCCCTCATTCCCTCTTTTCTCCCCTTTCTGTTCTACTCCTTTCTATAATTTCTTATGCTCTCTCTCTTAAACTATAAATTCGTTTTCCTGTTTTAGCTCTCTATCGGCCAAGACCGCATAGTGATGATTACAGCACGTTGAAAAAAATTCCTCCACCAAAACCAAAGAGAAGTCCCAATACAAAGCTGAGTGGCTCATATGAGGAGATATCAGTTCATAGATTTGGTGAAGTAAAATCGTTAAGTGTGCTAGTCAGAAAATGCAATCGGGATATGCTAACCATACAAAGAGCAGCCTCTGCAGATGGATCACTTCCAGGGACACTGTCTGTATATATGTCACAGGAAGATGATGATAATGAGCCCGTGTACATAGAGATGGTTGGTAATGCTAAGAAGAGTTGTCCTCCAGAAGCCGGGAGTCCAGAACAAGGAGAAGCTGTATATGAAGAGATGAAATATTTTAATCCTGATCAGATAAATAGTAACACTGTGCAAACCAGTGCCTCACAAGTATTTTTGTCAAACATTAACTTAGTTGATGGCCGTGCCACAAATAAAAAAGATGATCGCCAGATCAGGGAAACATATGACATACCAGCTCCATTTCCAAACCTCCTTCCTCATCGACCACCTTTGCTAGTATTTCCTCCTGCCCCAGTTACTTGTTCTCCGGCATCTGATGAGTCCCCCTTGACTCCATTGGAAGTAATAAAACTTCCTGTACTTGAAACCAACATAAACTATTCTATACAGTCGGAATGTTCAAGTCCAATATCTCCTCAGTGTTCGAAATATCAAAAAGGGGACAGTGAAAGACCATCATCACCAGCACAGAGTGCATTTGGCGTTACAAGCAAGATGTCCCCACCTTCTACATCTCCACTACAAGCAACCTCAGCTTCTTACTGTTCCACAACACACTTTACTTTTCCCACTGAGACTCCATATGCCTTGTTAGTCAATTCTGCAAAGAGGTCTCTTCATGCAGATAACCTGAAAACTCTTAGTAGATCTAGTCCTTCTATAACTGATACTTCTTCTAGCACAGTGACTAAATTGCCCTTTTCTTCTCCAGTAAAAATTCCAAGGACCATTGAAACGAAATCCCCTTCTGTGTTTCCAGCCAGTGTAACCAACATTAGCTATGTTACAAGTCCTTTGGATGAATTAACAACCCTCTTTACCTCAGGGAGGAGTTTACTGAGAAAATCGGCAGCTGGCAGAAAAATTCGTGAAATGGAAGGTATGAAAGAAATACAGTGATTTGTGTTTGTTAAATTGTGATGTTAATGCACTCTATTTGATGTTACAAAACTGATTCACAAAAAGCTGGATGGAAAGAGTCTGCAGCCATTGCCCAATGTTGATAGTTACATTTTAGTTTTCATATAAAGCTAGGAATCTACATTAATTTAGCTACAGTTTGTTTTGCACCAATTTTTGTAAATTAGTACGTGTGTAATTATGTATTATGTATGTATGTATGTATGTATGTATGTATGTATATGTAATTATGTATGAGCGCCATTGGTTGTCTGCCTACAGGCTCAAGTGACAAATCAAGCTCTGCCAATGTATTGTTTATTGCTATGAACTAATTTGTATGATATTTATTCCATTAAGAATACATTTAGTCAGCTATACCTCTTTATTTTAAAAATTACATATTTGTCCCATACCTAGTATGCTGGGTATTGAGGCAAACTGCAATGCTTTGAAACCAACATAAACTATTCTATACAGTCGGAATGTTCAAGTCCAATATCTCCTCAGTGTTCGAAATATCAAAAAGGGGACAGTGAAAGACCATCATCACCAGCACAGAGTGCATTTGGCGTTACAAGCAAGATGTCCCCACCTTCTACATCTCCACTACAAGCAACCTCAGCTTCTTACTGTTCCACAACACACTTTACTTTTCCCACTGAGACTCCATATGCCTTGTTAGTCAATTCTGCAAAGAGGTCTCTTCATGCAGATAACCTGAAAACTCTTAGTAGATCTAGTCCTTCTATAACTGATACTTCTTCTAGCACAGTGACTAAATTGCCCTTTTCTTCTCCAGTAAAAATTCCAAGGACCATTGAAACGAAATCCCCTTCTGTGTTTCCAGCCAGTGTAACCAACATTAGCTATGTTACAAGTCCTTTGGATGAATTAACAACCCTCTTTACCTCAGGGAGGAGTTTACTGAGAAAATCGGCAGCTGGCAGAAAAATTCGTGAAATGGAAGGTATGAAAGAAATACAGTGATTTGTGTTTGTTAAATTGTGATGTTAATGCACTCTATTTGATGTTACAAAACTGATTCACAAAAAGCTGGATGGAAAGAGTCTGCAGCCATTGCCCAATGTTGATAGTTACATTTTAGTTTTCATATAAAGCTAGGAATCTACATTAATTTAGCTACAGTTTGTTTTGCACCAATTTTTGTAAATTAGTACGTGTGTAATTATGTATTATGTATGTATGTATGTATGTATGTATGTATGTATATGTAATTATGTATGAGCGCCATTGGTTGTCTGCCTACAGGCTCAAGTGACAAATCAAGCTCTGCCAATGTATTGTTTATTGCTATGAACTAATTTGTATGATATTTATTCCATTAAGAATACATTTAGTCAGCTATACCTCTTTATTTTAAAAATTACATATTTGTCCCATACCTAGTATGCTGGGTATTGAGGCAAACTGCAATGCTTTCTGTTTCCACTGCTGTTCTACAATGGTGAGGGTTAAAAAAAAAAAAAAAAACTTTTCAAGCTGTAGGAAGATGCAGCTGGCTGGTCACATGCTGGTACAGGGTACTGAGAGTGTATTCAGCATCAGTGCCATAGTACCAGCATGTAAGGCTGGCTACATATCTTTTTCAAATGCATTGTGCCAAACACAGAACTAATCTTGGCTACATTTGTGTTGAGATAGCCATTCTGCTCCATATGTACTGTTGGCAGGTGCATCTGTGTATTATTATGCCAAATTTTATAGGTTTTTCTCTATTGACCTGTCTAGGTTCTCATAAGATTTTCAAAACAATACATTCCTCTGGCTTCACTAGTTCATTACCAATAATAACAGTGTTTTTCATGTTTTCTTAATGGTCGAATATTAAAAACACACCATAGGTTACAGTCTTCTCAAGATCATTTTTGGAAGATTTTAACTACCCTAAAATTGACTGGTATAATGACACTGCTTATACAGCAAAAGCGCAGACATGTATTGAGTTCTTATAGGAAAATTTTATGGGAAAATGTTATGGGACAAATTATAGAGGCCCTAGCTAGAAATGATAAAAAGTGTTTTTCTTCACCTGTTAATCTGAAACACTGTATACACAGACGAAAGTATATGTAGCAGTTGCCATAGTATGATTACATTTAATCTTAGTTGTAAACAATAAGCACATTCTTGAAATAAAAGACACTTAATTTTAAGAGAGGCAATTTTTGCAATTCTGGGACTGCTCTCTAGAATATAAATTTAAGAGGAAATGCTGTCAACAAAAGACATAGAGCATAAGTGAATGTATTTAAAATTGATGTTAGGCAAAAACATTACAACATTTTGCAATCCTTATCTTGAGCTATACATTTAAAAGGTTAAAAAGAAGACCTAGAGGGCTTAGTTCTAGTGACAAACAAGCTCTAAAAATGAACATGACATTTAAAAACAAACTGAAAGAACACAGTCATCATTTAATAGCTATAAAAAAAACAAAAGCTGCAAGAAGCTGGTTGGCAAGAAATAAAAATGAAGGACAGGTTGCTAAAGAAAGTAAACTAATTCCCTAAAAATTCTTAATATAAGTCTTAATATATTAATAGTAACAAAACATGGTCAGAGTGCATAGGCCCTCTAAAAATGCTTCACCGGCGATGAACAGTAAGCAAACCTGTTAGATACACTATATTGCCAAAAGTATTGGGACACCTGCCTTTACACGCACATGAACTTTATTGGCATCCTAGCCTTAGTCCATAGGGTTCAATATTGAGTTGGCCCACCCTTTACAGCTATAACAGCTTCAACTCTTCTAGGAAGGCTGTCCACAAGGTTTAGGAGTGTGTCTATGGGAATGTTTGACCATTCTTCCAGAAGCGCATTTGTGAGGTCAGGTACTGATGCTGGAGGAGAAGGCCGGGATCGCAGTCTCCGCTGTAATTCATCCCAAAGGTCTTCTATTGGGTTGAGGTCAGGACTCTGTGCCGGCCAGTCAAGTTCCTCCACCCCAAACTCACTCATCCATGTCTTTATGGACCTTGCTTTGTGCACTGGTGCGCAGTCATGTTGGAATAGGAAGGGGCCATCCCCAAACTGTTCCCACAAAGTTGGGAGCATGAAATTTATCCAAAATGTCTTGGTATGCTGATGACTTAAGAGTTCCCTTCACTGGAACTAAGGGGCCAAGCCCAACCCTTGAAAAACAACCCCACGCCATAATCCCCCCTCCACCAAACTTTACACTTGGCACAATGCAGTCAAGTACCGTTCTCCTGGCAACCGCCAAACCCAGACACGGCCATCGGATTGCCAGACAGAGAAGCGTGATCTGTCACTCCAGAGAACATGTCTTCACTTCTCTAAAGTCCAGTGGTGGTGTGCTTTACACCACTGCATCCCACGCTTTGCATTGCACTTGGTGATGTAAGGCTTGGATGCAGCTGCTTGGCCATGGAAACCCATTCCATAAAACTCTCTATGCACTATTGTTGTGCCAATCTGAAGGCCACACAAAGTTTGGAGGTCTGTAGCTATTGACTCTGCAGACACTTGGCGACTTCTATGCACTGTGCGCTTCAGCATACGCTGATCCCGCTCTGTCATTTTATGTGGCCTACCACTTCATGGCTGAGTTGCTGTTGTTCCCAGTTGCTTCCACTTTGTTATAATGCCACTAACAGTTGACCGTGGAATATGTGGTAACAAGGAAATTTCACGGAACACCTGAATCCAATGATTTGGAGGGGTGTCCCAATACTTTTGGCAATATAGTATATCTTCTTTAGCTCTGTGTATACAATGCATAGTAATGTGCATTTTGGTTGTTAATAAAGTACTTGGACCAGATGGCTTACAGGACTCCTCAAAGAGTTTAGCTCAGTTATTTCTAATCCAATGTTTCTAATTTCATAAAGACTCTTTAACCCCTTTCCACCTGACATTTGTATATTCAAATACCCCAGCAAGATGCCCAGTGCTAGTGGTCATTAATAAAGGTCCTCCTGTAGCTGTAGTGGCATTTCAGTCACTTATAATATAGTGAACTCAAGCGGGCTGGAGAGTTAATTGGCAAAATAAGTTTTTACCTGGCAGATGTCACTGCAGCAGGAGGCCATGTTCCTTTGTTTAGTACTGTAATTTGCAGATACAATTACATTATTAAAACAAATATATTAAAGATTTTTATTCTACATTTTTGCTCATTTGTCACTCCATAATAAAAATATTTTTTTTTTAAACAGTGTGTCCAATAAAAGCCTTATATTTTATTTTAAAAGTGAAAGAATCACTTTTCAAAAGTATCGGTAGATCAAGAAGTATACAATTAAGTTATATGCAAATTTAAAAAGTGTCGTTAAAAGCTGATCTTGGTCTCACTCCTCCCATACAGGGGTGGATTTATACTTCCTGCCTTCCCTCCTTCTCCCCAGACCAACTGTTTTATGCTACCACTTCCTATCCTAGTTGACTGTCAAGCCCCACAATCACACTAATGAGATCATAACACAGGGAACAATGAGAGACAGAGAAACAGTACACCCACTCTTAGTCAGTACACGTAAAACTAAAAACTTTAAGAGTAAGTAATACCCTTCACTTTCTCTGCTAACAGTTCAGATCTAGTGTTTGGGCTCAGAGTAGATCAACTATAAGCACTCAGTACCAAAAAACACTGCATGGACAGCAACTATGGGGTCTATTCACAAAGCTGCCGAGGGCGACCGAGTGAATGACCGATCTGAAGTGAAGTGAGCCGAACACTGTTCGGCTGTTCACTTCAGGCTGGTACGGCTAATTTCAGCCATACATCGGCTGAAATCAGCCGTACATCGGCTTGCTTCGAGTGGCTTCGGGTCGGCCAAACATGCTCAGCATGTTAATCACCACTGGGGTTTTTATTTTTTACTATATAAAGGAAAAATTATTATTATTCAGTCGAACCGAAGGGCTGCTGTACGGGCTATTCACAATAGCCTGTACAGCAGCTGAAGGCTGACGAGCGGCTCAGCCAAGCCG